CTGGAAGGTGACAACAGTGGCAACGGGAGCAGTTGGGGGGCCAGTGCAGGTCAGCTGAGAGATGAAGGCGGTCTGGACAGAGGGTGACGACAGATGAGGGTAGAAAGGGACAGAGAAAGCAACGAAGAGCAGCCAGATAGAATTTGGAGCTAGGCTTTATAGGACTTGTTGGAGAATTCGAGTGGAGGGTTAGAAAGGCAGCACCGAGAAGTTGCAGGTTCTTATTTGCAGGATTGGATGATGGGCAAACCTGGCAGGGGTTTGGCTCAGGTTTTGATGGGACAGAGGTCAAGGGCACCGTTCTGGACATGTTACATTTGAGATATGCATGGGGCATCCAAATGAAAAGACCATTAGGCAACTGAATACTTAAGAGCTGGTGTTCTGTGAAGAGGTACAGATCAGAAAAGAAAAAATTGGGAATCATCATGACACGTCATTTAGAACCACGGAACAAGCAAGGCTAACTAGGAAAAGAGTTATGAAGAAGGTCTGCAAACATTTAGAAATAGGTTTGTCTTCCTATCGACCTTCTTGAAAGCCAAAGTAGAAAGTCATAGTGCGTGAATCTAACGCAGTGAATCAGTGCTGGGGCTGGTCAGGTAATGTCTAGTTATCCACCTGCTGAGGATTCCACATAATATGATACCACAGCTGAAGTAACATGAGCGGAGTTTATAGTTGACAATAGAAAACCTTTCAGCAAGTGCTGGGTCACAGTAAGCTTACGGTTGCATTTTATGATGGTTCTCAGGCAACAGAGTTAATATCACCCCAAATACTGTGGAATTGACCCACATATCTGCCCAGGTAGGCCATCCCATTTCTAAAAAGAGGTGGGTCACGGCGATAGTTATTTTTTATTTATTTTTGAGAGACAGAGACAGCATGAGCAGGGGAGGGTCAGAGAGAGAGGGAGACACAGAATCAGAAGAAGGCTCCAGGCTCTGAGCTAGCTGTCAGCACAGAGCCCGAGGTGGGGCTCGAACCCACGAACCATGAGATCATGACCTGAACTGAAGTCGGACACTTAACCGACTGAGCCACCCAGGCGCCCCAGCGATAGTTATTTTAAAAAGTGACTTTTAAAAGTAGATCTGAACCACTGAAACACCTGAACATTTACTCAAAGAAGATCCCACAGGTGTTGGTTTTTCTTGAAGCATGAAAAAGATTACTTTGGCCTACAGCATGTCTGGGATGTTGGTGCCAAATGGACGTCTTCCACCAGAGAACCGTAGTATGCCTTTTGCGTAATGGAATTTTGCATGTGTGTGGTTTATTTTTGAGAGCACACACATGTTCACGTGGGGGAGGGGCAGAGAGAGGAGAGACTAGAGCAAGAATCTCAAGCACACTCCACTCTGGCAGCCTGGAGCCTAATTGAGGGTACAACTTCATGAACTGGGGAAATCATGACCTGAGCCGAAATCCAGAGTTGGAAGCTTAACTTACTCACCCACCAGGTGCCCTGCATAATGTAATTTTGAAAAAGATTATGTCACAATATGCTCATAATGGCTACATGTGGTAATAAGTTTCTTCCTATTTTCTTATTTCTCTCCCAACTCACTTAATGGTGTTAATTTATTCTTCTACCTTAAGTATATATTCATACACTGTACCACATACACAAAATTTTAAAACTTGAGAGTAGGGCTTATTCTAAATCTTTCAGAACTTTTAGGAATAATATGTTTTAGGAAGCTTTAGAAGTTTTAGGAATAAATATTTGATCGATTCCTGCCAGACTTCGTTTTCCTTCCATTAAAAAAAATGGTTACAAACAACATAAGGTTTTTTGTAGTTTGACCATTTCTCACCATCACTGCTTATACAAAACCTCTGTTGATGGAGTTCAGTGCCCTAGGGGATAAATAATTGTTCGTGGCAGTAAACTATTCCAACAGAAATTCACTAGCGGGTTTAATTGCTGTTCAGGCTTTTTGTCAAAAACCATCATATCCATAGACTTGCAATGCCTTGATTAAAGCTTTAAGATTATTTCAATATAAAGCAGCTCCAGATCAGAGAGAGATAACATGCAAGACATTTACTGAAGTTTCAAAGAGCTCATATTGGCCCCACTGGGGATGTTGTAGCTCTAGAAGCATGTGGATAGAAATAAGTTGCTGAGACTAAGAGTGTCAGCATCTGCAGCTTGGGGACATCACTGGATGGACGTGAGAGAACCATGCAGTCATACAGATGTGGGGATATGGATGCTCCTGTGACTCCCCTTGTAGAAGCTGTTGTGGGGAACAAGTTTCCTACCTCTGCACTGCCTATTACCCCAATGACCAACCATAATTATAATCTGAGACTGCCTCTATTTGAAGTCACATCTTGATGCCTTTGATACTTTTTTCTACCTCTTGAAAATTTTCATGGACTTTTTCCTAGCACATCTCAAAATAGGAGACTCAGGACTAGTATTAGCTTAGCATGAGCTCTTTTCAAAAAGTCTAAAACTACAGCTGAGCCCTCGTGGAACCTTACTGGATTAAGAAGGAAGTTAGAAGTTGCTGTGGGGAATAATGGAGGGTTAAACCAAAGCTGCCACTTAGTCACTGTGAACAGTAAACTTTTGATTACTTTGTGCCTCAAATAATTTGTAGGATTTGTAGAATTGTGAAGGTTATATTGGAATCTCTAATTCTTCCTCTTACACCCCCCTCCCCCAATAGTTTTAAGACAATGTGCGGGTGAGCAGGGGAAGAGCAGAGAGGGAGAGAGGATACAAAGCGATTCTGCACAGACAGCAGAGAGCCCAGGTCGGGGCTCAAACTCATCAACTGTGAGATCCTGACCTGAGCCGAAGCTGGATGCTCAACCGACCACCACCCAGGTGCCCCACATCTCAACTTTATTCCCCTACTCCCAATGTTCTAAGAATGTTGACACATAGGGATGGTCATATTTGCCCACATGCTTTCCAAGTTAACAATGGATGGAATTTAGATGGGTTTTGAGGTAAGAGAAACATTTTAGGCAGGCACATGTACAGGTGGAAAGGCAGGAGATGAGCATCTTAAATGGAAATACTACAGCTAAAGGCTTGGAAAGGAGACGAAGACACTGAAAGCCTAGTATCTTGGTGTATGTTTTCCTAGCCAGTGCAGAGGCAGGAGGTGTAGGACTATATTGACTGTCCTGCAAGCCTGGCCATTGGAATTAGTGACAGGGATGAATGTGAGCTCAGAAAGATGCTTAATGGCCTGAGTATATGGAGTGATTCATAGCAACAGCTAAGAGCAGATGGAGGAGGCGAGAATGAGAATGAGTAATAGGAGGGAACTGTGATTTGGAGACCCACGTGAACTGATTGATTTTTGAGAGTGTGCGTGCACCCAGGTGAGTGAGGGACAGAGCGAGCGCAGAGCATGGAGCAGAGTTTGAGCTCAAGCAAGATGATCTTATAAACGGAGAACAAAGTTTCTGGTTAGCAACAGAATTGATGGGTATCTGTGGAAATGGTATCCATGTAGTAACTTGGCAGACAGACAGAAGGGGACAGAAGGCTTGGGAAATTCGATCAAACTTCATTATCCATCAGTAACTGTTAGCATGTGAAAGAATGTTGCTATTATTGCACCAAAGAATTTTAAACCTCTCCTAAACATCTTCCTGGTGCAAAGAATTCACAAGGTTTTCAACCAACTTATGGAATTCAAGGTCAGGATGAATGACAGTTGGAAAGAACTGAGGAATTCTATCAGTCCAGGATGACATGCTTTGTGGTTTTTGCCTATCGTAGTAAAGGTGGCTAGTCCAACAGGGAGGTCATCCACTGAGGCTACCCCTAAGCCACCAAACCATGGCTTTCCTAAGGATGAACTGGGTACTAGGATTCTTCTGAAGTACCTGTTAAGAGTAATTCAAGAGGCAGAGGTGATAGTTTGTCAGTTTGGTTAGACCTCCTCTAGTAACCAAACCCTTCTGGCTAGTTTCAGATGTATGTGCATAGAGAACACATGGAATTAAGGCCCCTTCCTTGAAATTTCTCACTACTTAATCTTGAAGCTGGAAGAAGTACCAAACTGTACTGTGTTGAACCTGCCATTTAATAACTGATAGCTTGGGGAAGGAACAAATAAATTACTTGATACAAGCCTGTGAACCTTTTGACAAGATAGCCCTAGTAGTAAAAAGTCAGCAATAAAAATTTTCTGAGTCCCTTAAAGGATGCCTGCCCTGAAATGTGTGCCTTGTGTATGTAGGAGGCTGACAGCACTTGGCACTGGATGAGGGCATGCGCCAGGTTCCAGTTAGGTCAGTCCTATGGTTAAATGTAAAGCCAATAAATTCAATTTAAATGGTTACAATCTGCTTGCTAAAATGAAAGACATGTAAAGACCTTCCAACTTTGTGGGGGGTTTTAAAAACTTTTTTTAATGTTTTTTATTTCTGAAAGAGACAGTGTGAGCAGGGGAGGGTCAGAGAGAGAGGGAGACACAGAATCTGAAACAGGCTCCTGGCTCTGAGCTGTCAGCACAGAGTCCGTGTGGGGCTCGAACCCACGAACTGTGAGATTATGACCTGAGCCAAAGTTAGAGGCTTGAGCGACTGAGCCACCCAGGCACCCCAAGACCTTCCAACTTTGAAAGTCGACACTGCCAAACTATGTGGATAGCTACACAGACAACATAAATAAGGTAAGGCTGTTACTAGCAGAAATTTAGCTATTGTTAAAATACCTCATTATAAATAGGAAGAGGCAGGAGAACAGGAGTAGACCATCTCAGACGTCTGTTTATCATGTTCTAGCAAATGCACAACTCACTGTGCCCTATTTGAAATGAAGTGACAGTAGATACTGACAATGCTGTTTTATTTATTTTTAAGTTTTCTTATTTTGAGAGAAGGAGAGAGAGAGCCTGATATGGTGCTCGAGCTCACAGACTGTGAGATGGTGACCTGAACAGAAATCAAGTCAGATGCTCAGCCAACCAAGGCACCAAGGCGCCCCACCAGTGCTGTTTTAAACAAACAAAATGAACTTAACTCAATAAATATCTTTTATTAAAGAAAAAAAGAATATTGTTAAGCACCAAAACCGTATGTTGTTACATTGCATGTACATGAGAAGGTGACTGCAATACCTGCTGTACAAGTACTTAACTCTGAAGTCATGAGTGTAAAAAATGAAATACAAAGCAATAATTACAATGCAGAAAAGTTGCACTAAAGAGCAAAAGGCAACGGTCAAAACAATTATTGGAGATTTCAGAGTATTGCTATAACTGCCTGCTTAGTTTTTTCTTTGTACTTTTAATACTTTAAAATATTAATGGAGCATATTTAAGTACTGTAAATTTGCAAGAGTTGGCATTTACAATACACTGTGCACACTTCCGTTTAATGTACGGTGTTAAAGCCATCTTTAAAAGCCAGGCACAATGTGCTAGTGTTTTGCTTCTACCATTATAATATTGCACAAAGCTAGTAAATAGTGAATTGGTCTGCCACTGTAATTTTCACTTAACCAGAAAGGCTAAAAAACATGTCAGTTTCATCAGCCCTCATGGGCTTTAATCATGCAAAATGATCTGTAGCCTTCAATGTTTCACAAACAATATATATATTATGATTTCACACTTGGCAAGACACACAGTACAGTAAGAGACTCAGTGAGACAGTGAGGATTCTGTCTGAGTCAAAAGAAGTCAGAAGTCACTGTCTGGGTTGCATCGTCTACCCCTCTTGGGTTACAATCGAAGGGAAAATGCCATCTTGTGATCATGACTACTTGTTAAAACCAATGCAATTAGTATTGGGAAAAGCTAGAATAACTTGTTACACTCTTTGATAGTTAACCATAGAACATGCAAGGAAAAAAAACACCCAAAACTTCCCTTGTTAAAATTCAGCTCTACAACCAGCACCTATTACCTTTTTGTATACATCTAAAAATCACTTTGCATGGCCTTTCTATCCACTCTTAATTCCCCCAAATTGAGCCACTTAGTTATAACTGACTTTTAAAAAAACCAACAAAAAAACTTTCCCTTACCTCTCAAAACAAATGACTGCTTTGAGATTGAGTGTGAAAGAGCGTTGATAAAATATTTAACATGTCAACCTCAGAGGTATTTTCTGTACATGCACCTTAGTGGCATAATAAAAGTAGGGAAGGGAAGAAACATTTATAAATTTGAATTCTAAATTAAATTCCTCAAATACCAAGCTGTATATTTACTGTGGGCAAAACAGAACATTTTAGAATGAACACATCTTCAAAATAACCCAATGGGCAAACATTTAACACACACACACACACACACACACTCACTCATTCCAGATTACCTCTCACCTTTAAAAAACCTCTGTTTACATACATGATAGTTTAGGCAGCAATATAAACTCATTTTGTAAGAAAAACTTTAAATTAGACTATTTATAGGATAAAAAATACCACTGCTTGATTTTACAAAGCAGTTTAAGCAGAGATTCCTCTTCATGTGCTTTAACTAAAGAGCACTTTGTAGCAAAGTTCACAAGTAACCACTGATTGCTCAGCAGCACTAAATCAATGCAACAGGCTTCAACAGTAAGGTGCTTTTACTTTACCTCTTCCATCAGAAATCAATCTTGCTGGTCAGTCCTCTAGAACTAGGCATAGCTCTTCTAAGCAATAAAGGTGAAATAAAATCTGTTTATAATGCACATTTAACTTTATATTATCACTTAAATTCAGTGCAAGAGTCGGGTAAAACTTAAGGTGTCTGTTCTTTCTTATCAAATGGTTGCATGTTAACAATGGATCTGCCACAATTTTTAAACGTTTTACAGCTGTTCAATAATATCTCTTACAAATAAGCCTGGTAAAGCATATGCAATTTCAACTCCCTGATAAGGCCTTCATGGACCTACTTAGTACTTTACAGATTGGTATCTCCTGATATGTGCATATTAATTACAAAGGTTTTTGTTTTTTTTTTTAAAAAAAAAAAAAAAAAAAAAACTTGTTCTTAGTGAAAGAAATAACTTTCCTTAGGCTAAAAGCACGGACTTACATTTATACACAAACTCAGTGAATGCACTTATAAAATGACATCTTAGGGAATGTATAAAATTAAACTATGTTAAGTGTATACTGGTCCCATTCCAAACAGAGGATGCTGCCCATTCTTGTCCACTGTGTTTTAATTCTTAGTGCCTGCTCCGACCTAAGTGTGCTTTACAACTTAACACGTTTTTATCGCAAAGTGGTCATGCCATGTTACCTAAGATTGCTACACAGTTCAGCTTCGTAGAAATAAGGATTTTCCCCCCTCATTATACAAAATAAATGAAAGTACTGAAAATTTTTACATAATGAGAAAAACTCCACCTTCCTGCTATGGAAATACTACACCTGATCAACTCTTACAGCCGTGCCCCTTGTTTTAAAAATACACATTAAAAAATCTTTTAGCTCCACAATGAAGAACTAGGGAATGATTGTTTCAATGCTGCTCACAAACTCAAAACCTATAAAACATAGAGCAAGCAAGACCAGAGCAAGCTGCTCATCTTTTTAAAATCCTCTTTAGCTAGGCATTTTGTCATACTGCTACCCACAGCACCACTCAGACTGGAGATGGTTAGGAATATGTTTTCTCTGTGTGCCACACTGGTTATATATACAACAGTTTGAGTATTAAGTGGGAGAACTACTTAAAACTGGCACTCAAGGGAGCAGTAATACTAACCTTAAAATATTCCCAAGTTATCTGTTTCCCTATTCAAAATATATTGTAGTCGAGACTAGATTGATACGTCAACTTCTACACTGATTCGGTATAAGCAAGCAGCTGTTTGTGAATTCTTACAAGAAATTGGTACACCGAGATATAACTATCCAATTTTTTAAACCTATAAATAATACATAAGACTTTAAAGAGCTAAAATGCTCGTTTTTTTGAGGGCAGGTGGAGAAAAGGAGAATTTAACCATGCTCACATAATTGTTGACTGGTTCCGAAACTTCTTTAAAACGACCATAAGGAATCAACTGATAATCTCACCTTGGACAAGTGGACTGGAGTTATTTGAAATTTTAACATTTAGGAGAACTCCAAAGGATAACAATCTGCAGTTAAGTTGTACTTCTGTAGAAAGAGGAATATGATTCTTAAGGACAGAAGGTACATTTACTGGAAAAGTTACTCAATAGAGAGTAGCTTGGCTGGTTGCTAAGGAGACTCTGCTTCAGCATGCTCATCATCAAATGAGACACCCTTCATGGAGTGCAGTGGGATGTGCTCAGACCTGTGGATGAAATCCAAAAGGATTCACAGGGGTCTGTACCCCTCCAATATTTGCCGGACACTTACTAGAACATGGTTCTGGGAGACAAGTCACAGGACCTATTTCTAAGTGAGCCTGTCTTATGATGGAATCCCAGCTCTAACACTAAATGATGAGCATTCCCGTCACATAAATATCCCAGTGTTTTTGCTCTAAGTTTAATGTTAGGTTCTCCTGTATTTTTCTCAATTTCAATGGATGAAAAAACAGATTCATAAGCATCCAAAGGCTTGAAATGGATAGTTCTTTTTTAAAGGCTTGCAAATCTGGTTTAAAGAAACGAAACCAATCATTCTTTGGTTGAAAAGAATGCTTCAATGCTTTACTGAAGGAAATGGGGGGGGGGTCCCCACACATACCTCGCCACAGTGAGACGAACAGTACATCTCTACACGAGATCTGTATTTTAATATTCCAAGGTGGGAATAAAACGTGAATAAAGTCAATGCATTGTGAAAATGCTGTGCAAAAAGCTCCTACTATCATCAGTAAGTAGGAAGTTTTCTCCATAATTATTTGAAAGGAAATAGCATCTTAAAGGGACAAAGCTGTGAGCATTTTTTTCCCCTCTCCATGAAAACCACTTTATACACATTTGAGGATTTTTACTCTAGGATTGCTTCCTGGGTCTAGACCAGAGAAATGCCTCAGAAGAAACAAAAGTTCTTTTTGGTTCCTCAGTCCTTAACTCCCTTTATATAAAGGCCAACATGCGTCTTATACAGAAATACACTCTACAGAATACTGTAAACTGGGTCCAACATATCCACCTTCAGTCAAGCCTGCAATGGTCCTGTGGAGAATTCACAATGGCTCCTTTCATATAAATGCATCCTTCAGGACTCCAATACAGCAAAATCACCTAGAACTACATACATGTTTTTAAAAGTCTGACATTTAACAAAGGCTCTCTCCCGAAATCCCACTCAAAACATGTGAAGTCAGTGAAATGTCAGCCCGGAAGGCTTTTCTGCCTGTCGACTTTGTGCATTTGTAGAGCACATTTCACTGCGAAGCATAAAAAGAGAAACTTAAATGGTGCCCATTACAAAGATTTAAGATCAGCATCCCTATTACTGAATCCTCAGTTTTTGATTCTCAATAGGAAAGTTGTGTTGAGTTACCCTAATCAAGCAATCATTCAAACAAAAAGACTAAAAATAATCTGAAATATTATCAAGTTACAAAGTATTGCTTTTCATAAACAAAGCTGCACATGAAATTCAAACTATTATAAATTCACCATTATGAAGAGCTATTTAAAAGCATGGAAATTTTTACTTCAAAACCTTACAAAGTGTAAGAGTGTGTGGTCTTTTAAAAATATGCCATGGTAAATGTATCACACTGTGGTAAACACATTAAATGTATCTCCGTGGTTATCTTTTCAGATGTTGAACATCTTTAAAATGTGAAAATTTTCAGTGCATTTCCATCGGATTCTTTCCAATTCCTGTCCTACAGCTATCATGATAAACTTTTGTAGAGTGTTGCACTATTTATACAAGCTGATATGGAAGAAGCTCTGTCTTTTCAAGCAGAGGACTATTCAGTGAACTTAAAGGATTTCAAAGCAGATTCAATACAGCTCACAGTAGATCTCTGTCAACCCAGTGTTCTTCCGACTCAGAGTGCCCCCAGGTTTACTGGCCACTACAAGGGTGTAAATGGGTGGACAAGAGGGAAAGGTGCTTTAAAAAACCCAGGCATCTCCACAAGGCCTTTTCTTCACTGCATCAGGAGCATTGCACATCTACAATTCATCTTAGCCACCAACTACTGGAATGACTGGAAAAGCGATAACTTGCCAGCTGTGCCTCCATTCTTTCACACCACTGAGCCAATCCACTTTGTGTCTAATGAAATCCAATTGGGAAATCGCGTGTTTAAAATTTTGTTTTCCAAAACAAGAAGAACCAATCTTCAACTGTATCTTTTCTTTCTGCTGAGTCACCTGTTTATAAACAAAATAATACAGTATGTTAAAAAACGAGCTCTTAAGGACAGTGTGTGTGTGTGTGTGTGTGTGTGTGTGTGTGTGTGTGTGTGTTCCCACACAACTTTTGCAGTATCTGGATGAACAATGATGGTTTTTTTCTTATAAACGCCCATTTGTAGAGATAGTATACAGGAGACATTTTTTTTTTAAGGACACATTTGTATTCGTAAAGAAAAATGACAAAATTTGTATATGGATTTTATAAGATATAAGACTGTATGGTAGATTCACTTGTATTTCTTTTACTCTAACATTCTATGTCAAAACTAAGCAGTAAAAAGGAAAATACAATACAATCTAAAACACTGGCCTCCTACTGCTAGTGTATTAAGAATTACTAAATGATACTTAAAAATTCACTAGAAAGTGAGTTTTTGTTACTGGCATTTGGAGGACAGGATTAGTACTGGTCTTTTGGGGTACTGTGGCAGGACGTTCTAGTTTCAAAGTAGTTGTGTTTGAGATCCATGGCTTACATGTGACACAGGAGCGTTTATATTAAATGCCTACTTGTCAGGTAAAAACAGACCTGTTATTAGTTCTACGTTATTTAATATTGTAGCACATGTGGCTTTTGAGCGCTTGAAATGTGGCTGGCTAGTCTGAGAAAATGGATGATTAATGTGACTTAAAGTAAAATCTGAAGCAGTATAAAATATTTGTTCATTAAATATAATTTTATTGTTTAGGTAGGACATTTCCACTTCAACCACTGAATACTTAGCATCCAAACTGAGATGTGCTACTAGTAAGGGTAAAATACTGGATTTTGAAGATTCAGTACAAAACAATGTGAACTACACCTCATGAATTTTTTTATAGTGTAACGTTGAAACATACGATTTTGGATACATCATTTAAATAAGTATTAGTGAAATCAATTTCTTTTATCTTTTTAATGTGACTCTGAGAACTGTTTAAACTCCATCTGTCCCTCATACTGTATTTCTATCAGACAGTATCATTGTAGTTAGTTCATAACTTTATGAAGGAACCCACAGAAAACAAATTAGAAAATAAAAAGCCTATATATATATTTCCTTATGTTCAGAAATTTCCCTCAAGGACACTATTACCTCTGGCTATCCCAAGAAGAGTTTTAAAGGAAGACAAGGGAGAACAGGATATCTTTACTTTTTATTTCATGAAGTTTTGAGAATTAAAAAAAATTTTTTTTTAATGTTTTATTTATTTCAGAGCGAGCGAGAGAGAGAGAGACAGCGTGAGCAGGGGAGAGTCAGAGAGAGGGAGACACAGAATCTGAAGCAGGCTCCAGGCTCTGAGCTGTCAACACAGGGCCTGTTGCTGGGCTCAAACCCACGAACCTGAGATCATCACCTGAGCTGAAGTCAGAAGCTCAATCAACTATACCAGCCAGGCACCCCAAGAAATTATTTCCGTTGAAGAGCTAATGAATGGTTTAAAATCTACAACAAAGTCGGGGTGTCTGGGTGGATTGACCAGTTAAGCGTCCGACTCTTGGTTTCAGCTCGGGTCATAATCTCACAGTCTGTGAGTTCAAGCCCTGCCACTGGGCACCGCATTGGCAGCCTGGAGCCTGTTCAGGATTGATTCTATCTCCCTGTCTCTCTATTTTAAAAATAAACTTAAAAAAAATATTCAAAATCTACAAGAAACTGATTACTAATAGGAAATGCAAATTATAGCCTTCTTAGCCATATGTAGAGAAGCCATTTAAAAGTTCAGTCTTTAGAAATGATTTCCAAGACCAAAACACAAGGCAGGGAGAAGAGCTCCTTTATCGCTACCTGTTCAAACTAGTGGGGATTATAACTAGTCTATGGTATGCTTCTGTTGTAGGATACACCAGAGCTCAGATATCTGAGTTCATACATTTTCTGGGACCATTGTTTCTCTCAACATGCTAACACATACAATAGTTATAAATAATCAACCAAAAGAAGAAATTTTAGGGAATTTTCAAAGTGATACTCATCCTCAGCATATTCTTAACATCTGCTATAAGCATAAATTAGCAGCCCAAAGCTACAAATAACCAGGTGGGCACTTGAACATACGAGATGCTGCTGCAATGTCTATGTCTTGGGCAGGATCTGGTGAAGAAGGGGGGAAACGGAAATGATGAGCTGACCTGAACAACAGCTGGTGAGTCACATATCCCAAATGGGCACACTCATGTGAAGGCCCAACTGTGGGATTAACCAATCAGTGCTAAGATGGTAGTTTTAGGCATAGGCTCAGCAGCTCACTGAGAAGCTCCAAATAGGAGACAAGGTGACAGGTAACAAGCACTGTAAAGTGGGAGAGAATCTACAAGTATCCAATGTGAAAAAGACTAGTCAGATGCCCTGAGTGTCTAGATATTCTCACAGGGTATACACAGTAATATATCTGCCATCTTCTACAAAGCGCGGTGTACATTGGTTAAGCATAAATGGTTTGAAATTATTTTCGGATCCAAAAACAGTGAATCATATAAAATGATAATTAGGGGCTCTATAAATAACAGGGGGAAAAGATACCAATAGTCCAATACCCATGGCAGAACACTGGTGCTATCAAATGATGTCTGGGGCATAACCACTTATTGAGGGGAACGCAATTTTTCACCCCCATGTTGTTAGAGCTATGGACAGAGCAGATGCTGGAGGGGAGGGGTATGGATGGGAGGACAGCACAGGAACATCTAAATTTTCCTAATGGACCCATTCCCAATGGAACAAGTAAGACTGTCTGTAGTAGTATTTTATTTGATATATCCAAAACAGTATCTTCCAACATGTAATCAATATAAAAAAATTAATGACATAGTATGAAGTATTCAAAATCCACATGTATGCCTGCATATATATCAGATCTACTCAGAATCCATCAGAGTGAAAGCCAGGAATCTGCATTTTTAATCTCCTAAGTAATTCTTACTGTCAGGCATGTTTTAGAATCATTGAGCTAAATAGTAAGTTTATTATTCCTTTACCTATTCTTCCTCCATGACTCAGTCTTCCCCAGTTTGATGAATATGTGAAGTCCATAGAAACACAGTCCATCAAGAAGGCAATTAATGCTTAATAGAATATATCTGCATAGTTGCATAACAGTTTGCACAAATTATATAATTTTAGTTATGACTACTATCAATTCTCTACTATTTACAGCATATGTAATCTTTACTATTTTCAGCAGAATTTGTGCTGTATTTGTACTATGTAATCATCTTACTAAAATGTGGTAGAGTAAATGCGGTAGAGAGTTACTTTCGGGGAATGTCCGACGTGTAACCAATACCACAGATGTACTTAATAAGATACGCATACACATATTACATGTTTTATTAGCTGCAATTTTATCTGGAAAATGAAGTAGCTACAATAAGCTTTAAAATGATAAACCTTAATTTTAAAGGCTTAGAAAGCTAAATAGGGGTTCCTGGGTGCCTCAGTTGATTAAGCGTACAACTTCGGCTCAGGTCATTAACTCATGGTTTGTGGGTTTAAGCCCTGCGTCAGGTTCTGTGCTGACAGCTCAGAGCCTGGAGCCTATTTCAGATTCTGTGTCTCCCTCTCTCTCTCTCAGAAATAAATAAAACATTAAAAAAAAAAAAAAAAGCTAAATAACCAATGAAATAATCTTTCTATACTAATCTCAGACAGTTCTTTTCCGGGCAGCTAAGATACCAAAATTCAAGGTGGCGCCTGGGTGGATCTGTAGGTTGGGTTTTTCACATTGGCTCAGGTCATCTGACGGTTTGGGAGTCTAAGCCCCATGTCAGGCTCTGTGCTGACAGCTCAGAGCCTGGAGCCTGCTTCAGATTCTGTGTCTCTCTCTCTCTGCCCCTCCCCTGCTCATATTCTTTTTCTCTCTGAAAAATGAACATTTTTTTTTTTTTAATTAAAAAAAAAAAAAGATACCAAAATTCAATATACGTAACACTTTGTACCTAGAATACTTAAGTTGGGAAAGGGCTTTTCATTTTTAGTGTATGAATAAGCCTGTCACTTTACTGGACTTAAACTATCCTCTTTATTTGGGCTGTACTGTAGAAATTTTTAATGACCAAGATATGGCATTTACTAAACAGTAGCTTTGAAAAGTGCTTTACTGTTTGTTAGGTTTCTAGAAACTACACAAAACCTGAAGTTTACAGATCTATATGGTCAGTGGTATAGGTGAGCTATATATAATAAATAAACCTAATCAATAAAATGTAACAGACTTCATCATCTACTATTAATGAATGCGACTAAAGAAATTAAGACCATTTACTTGTTAGTTTTCCCATTCTGTGCAGGGTAAAGCCTCCTCTTCATCCTCTGACTCAGGAGATGCTTCTTTGATTCTTCTAAGAGCTTCATGGATGCTCCGTGTTAGAGGGTCTGTATCAGGCAGAAGTGTGAAGGATTCTCTCAAAACTTCCTTCTGTACCTTCTTCAATTTCACCCCTTTCCTTATTTGTGCCAAGATATTATTACTATCATCTTCATCAGGAAAAGGAGGGAGAGTTCGCTGTTCAACCTTTTTCAGATGAAAACTACCACGCTTCAAGGAAGCTAGCACCTCATCCATGGGTGAGCTCACTTTACAAAATGAAGAGAAGAATGACAGTGAGGATCACAATTAGAGTTCAAATTGGTAACCTCTAGACTTAAGGACTGTGATAGCCAAGGACACTGAAAACAAAATGGACCACGAGCCATGGACAGGTTTGCCAATAACACATGCGACACCAATTATGCTTGTTTTAAAACAAACAAGCCAGGGCAAGCCTGGGTGGCTCAACTGGTTTAAGTGTCCAACTTCGACTCAGGTCATGATCTCACAGTTCGTGAGTCTGAGACCCGGGTCAGGCTCTGTGCTGACAGCTGAGAACCTGGAGCCTGCTTTGGACTCTGTGTCTCTCCCTCCCTCCCTCTCTCTCTGCCCGTCCCCCACTCAGTCTGTCTCTCTCAAAAATAAACACACGTGCGCACGTGCAAAAGCCAGAATCAACTTCCCAATTATTATTTCTAGTACTTCCCACGTGAGAGAAGTAAACAAGATTGGGACCTGGAAGGTGGTCTTTAGGAATTCCATGGGTGAGACCCCAAGGAGTCAGCAAAATCTAAATTCAGAGAGCAATATGAGTTACAAATATAATTTTAAATAAGTTTTCATATGCTATGGTTTTTTTTTTTTTTAAGAGATTCTATTTTATTTTTGTAAGTAAACTCTACCCCCAATGTGAGGCTCAAATGCAAGACACTGAGATCAAGAGTCACATGCTCTACTGACTAAGCCATCCAGGTGCCCCCACTATGGTGATCATTCTGTATTACCATTTAGTTGTTTTATATATGAAATTCTACTCCAGTTATGGTAAGAAATATTTTACTGAATTATCTCCCAGAGTAAAATGTAGTATGCAAATTGTTTTATATAATTATTCTCTGTTCTTATCTTAAAAAAAGCTTTATAAGGCATATTGGACATGCAATAAAGTGTCTATATTACTCTCTATCCTTCCTTGTTTTATACAATGAGTGTATCAAGGCCCTCAATAAATAAATATGTGACCCAAATATTGCATGGTCCTGCCAATGCCATCTTAGTGTGACAGCTGTGCCCAATTGTCTTACTTTTTCTGATGTGACTACTGTTCTTGTATTTCCTGGGTTTAAAATCAGATTTTTGGGGCACATAGGTGGCTCAGCTGGTTAAGCATCCAACTCTTGATTCTGACTCAAGTTATGATCTCATTCATGGTTGGTGAGATCGAGCCCCACATCAGGGTCTATGTTGACAGCACAGAGCCTGCTTAGGATTTTCTACACCCCCCCCCCCCACCGCCCTGCCCCTCCACTGCTTATGTACATGCAGACTCTCTCTCAAAAATAAACATTTTAAAAATATTTTAAAAATAAAGTCAGATTTTCTTTTTAACACAAAAGGAGCGCACTTAACTATGTATTACCAGATAGATCGATCAAGTATCATTTCAGAATATAATTTTTAAAACATCCCGAGGAGGTCAGGAGGGTACACATTTGTGTCTATGCACATTTGTTGCTGTGGGTTGGTAGAATTCTGCCAGGCTGTGACCTTGAAAACCTATTTGCTATCAAATAATGTCCAAAATAAAATAATGTTTTAAGCTTTGCTGGGTCCTATGAAATAAAAGATCTTTTGATTATGCCTCACTTTATTCAACAGATCAAAAATGTCTTTTTAACTTACCTCTCCTCCTCTGCAAACCTTCGGCAGTCTTTTTGAGCTTCTTCCTGGCACTGACCAGCTGACTGCTGTCAAAGAGATGTGCTGAGGGGGCACTCGCAGACTTGGGGATCCTCTTTTCATTCGCCTCTGTTCTAGGCAGACCTTTCTCCAGTGTCTCTGGGGAGCTGTCTTTAGCAACAGGCAGAGGTGGTGGTGGTGGGGGAGGGGGAGGAGGTGGTGGTGGGGGAGGAGGTGTTGGAGGAAGAGGTGGGGGGATTGGATCTATGGTAACAGAACCTGGTTCAAGGTCAATGTTATTCAAAAGTGGAAGAGAAACAGTGGGAGGCAGTTCAGAGGTAACACCACTGAGAGGTAATGAAGTGGCTTCAAGTTGTGCTAATGAAGTATCTTCAAGTTGTGTGAGGCTTTGGGCTTCTGTTTTCTGTGATGACCCAAGCTTGCCTATTCCTTCCTCTACTTTTCCACTTTTCTCTTCTACCTGTAGTGGTCCTGGCGGAGAGTCACACTGGTCCTCACAGGGCACAGGACTGGCAGTGCTTCTTCTTCTTGCATGAGCCAGTCGCAATCTTGTTGATTTAAGTATGACTTGGCCAGGGTACCTCTAAAAAATGAGAAGTGATTATAACTGGTCAAATTATTTTAAAACAATTTATGAATAAATGGCTATTTTCTCCTACAGGTTATTTTAGAGCTTTTGTGATTTTCACTGGAAATTCTTTGATCAAGTTATACAGAAGACCAGAATACCAATGCCTAACTCCTTTCAACAACTGGCATCAACTATTTGCTTATCAAATCCTTGATCAAGGCTCTATTCCCTCTTATCGACTTAAGAAGTCAACTATTCAAAATTGCCATGGGATTAAAAATAAAAATCTTTAATGACTGAAATTACTAACTTAAGTGGAAAAATAATAGCAATATAAAATATCAAGCTTAAATGCTATCGGTGCATCTGGGTGGCCCAGTTTGTTAATCATCTGATTTTGGCTCAGGCCATGATCTCATTGTCTCTGAGTTTGAGCCCCATATCTGGCTCTGTTCATACAGCTCAGAGCCTGGAGCCTACTTCAATCCTGTGTCTCCTTCTCTCTGTGTCCCTCCCCCATTTGCACTCTCAACATCAAACATTAAAAAAATTTTTTAAAATAAATGCTATTGGTATATACAAAGCTATGAAACCTATTAGTTTCTTACTTGTATTTTCAAATGCTTACAGATCAAAAAAATTAATCTTTTTAAAAACTTTCTTGGCATCTAAAAACTCTCAAAACAATATGTACATTTTATGATGGAAAGAGAGGGAATAAAATTTTACAAGTATTGATATACACAACTCTCATTCTTTTACTATAATAAAACCTACTATTAACGGATTTTGTGAACAGCATTTACTTGACACAAGGTTTATACTGTCCACAACCCCCATATACTCTTCACTATAATACTAAGAGGATTTCATCAAAAGCTTCCTTCACCTATAGATCACCACCATGAGATTACTGAATGTTGTGCTGCTAACAAGTTCATGCCTGAAATGGATAATCAGCTGTGAACTAATTAATGTTATAAAACTCAAGGAGAATTCCAGTTTGCCAGAGGTCCTGACCACTCCTCCTACACTACTAAAGTGCTAGGTCAATGGCCCAAGAATATCAATTCTGGATACAAGTGGAAGAAAGGTAACCCTGTAATCAAACATTAATTTAAAATAATTTTATCTTCTAAATAATAAAAGAGAAAATCAAGTTTTTCTCATAATCTTCTAATAGGAGTGTGTATGCAGCTCTGTTTAGAAAGCAATACAAAATATACTTGCCATACTTTTATTACCTGTTTAAAAGTTCGAAGTCTATCCAATGTTCTTTGTCTCTCTTGGCTGACCCAGGCACTTTTTTTTTCTTCTTCATCATGTAATTTTTCTCTCTTCTGATAAAAAATTAACAGTAATTCCATTATGATGTGTCCCACTCATTTTTATTATTAATGGGGGGAAATAAAGAGAGCTCTCCCAGTAAATAAAATGGGTAACTCCAAAGAATGATTCATTAAACAGTGTATATGACCTGAAACTACCAGTTTTAAATATAAATCATAATTTTAAAATCCAGAATGATATGCTGACAAAAACAATACTGTTTCATTTTTGCATTTACCCACAACTAGAGATGTTTACTCTGAAATAAAATCAAATCTTCTCTGAACTAAAAAGTGTTCCTTTGGGGTTGTGACTTATACAATCTTAAGTGTAAAATACTTGTGGCTGCTATATTCTGCTAAATTAAATAGTTGACCTTAAAAATAAAATCAGCAACCACCTGGCCAGGAATTTAGATACTACACATCTAACTCAGTTTCAGCTCCTCTACCCTGCTTCTACATTTTCTCTAAATATAAAAAAAAAAAAAAAAAAAAACATGGTATGGTAAACATGAAACGTTCCTGAAAATAGTACCTTCATAAAAGTTAACTAACTCCAAGATAAATCAAAATAAACTCAGGAATAGAAAAGGTGTGATAATCTATTTTGGTACTGATTTTCTTCTTCTGACTTTTTCCTGTTTTGCTTTAATCTTTTATAATGATGATGTAGGTCTCTTTATAAACACATTGAGTTTTCTTTTAAAAAATGGAATGGTTGAGAAGCATTTTTGCAAGCCACTAATTAAAACTGCTCATAGGGGCGCCTGGATGGCTCAGTCAGTTGAGCATCTGACTTCGGCTCTGGTCATGATCTTGGGGTTCATGAGTTTAAGCCCCGCCTCAGGTTCTGTGCTAACAACTTGGAGCCTGGAGCCTGCTTTGATTTCTGTGTCTCCCAGTCTCTGCCCCTCCCCTGCTTGCACTCTTTTTCTCTTTCTCAAAAATAAACATATAAATTTTTTTTTAAATAATAAAACTGCTCATAATAAAATTTTTCAAGTGGCAGTCAAGAAGTTTACGATGATTTTTTTTTTAAAAACAGCAAAATACTCAATTACTCAGGAAAAAATTCACCTTGTCTAGCTAATAGGACAATATTATAAAATACTAAGTAAAAAGAAAACTTTAAGATCACAAAAGGATAGCATGTAAAAATACCATGCAAGAAAGAGGCACCTGGTTCCCCCAGTTGGTTAAGTGTCTGATCCTTGATTTCGGCTCAGGTCATGAACTTGTGGTTCGTGGGATCAAGCCCTGCACCAGGCTCTGTGCTGACAGTGCTTGTAATTCTCTTTCCCTCTCTGCCCCTCCCCTACTTGGCACTCTCTAAGTATTTAAAAATATACCATCTAAGAGAGTAATATGGTAGGGGAAAACTGATTAAGGTAAGGAAATTCCATTTTTCTATAAAATGCTTACCAATTATCTATCAGCCAGGCCCTATATTAAGCCCTACAAGAGAAACAGGGAGGTTTAGCTGTCAAGCACCCAGGAAGAAAATGATCCTACTGGAAGAGGGGGAGGTGAAAAGGAGGATAGTTCCTAGGAGACAGCACAGGTAGTAATCTCTTGGACATTGGTCTTAGCAACATTTTTCTAGATTGGTCTCCTAAGGCAAAGGAAACAAAATAAAAAATAAACGACTGGGGCTACACCAATATAAAAAAGTTCTGGCACAACCATCAACAGAGCAAAAAGACATCCTACTGAATGGAAGAATAATATTTGCAAATGATATGTCCAATATGGAGTTAATAACCAAAATATATAAAGAACTTATACAACTCAACACCAAAGAAAATAGTAATCTGCTTTAAAAATGGGCAGAGTACACGCAATGGCCAACAGACACATGAAAACATCCTCAACATCATTAATCATCAGGAAAATACAAATCCAAAGCATAATGACATATCACCTCACACCTGTCAGAATGGCTAGAATCAAAAAGACAAATAGCAAATGGTGGCAAGGATGTGGACAAAAGGAACTATTATATACTGTTGGTGGGAATGTAAAATGGTACAGCCACTGTGGAAAATAATATGGAGGTTCCCCCAAAAACTAAAACTAAAAATACACTGGGGCACCTGGGTGGCTCAATCAACTGAGCATCCAACTTTGGCTAAGATCATGATTTTATGGTTCATGAGTTCAAGCCCCACATTGGGCTCTATGCTGCAGTGCAGAGACTGCTTGGGTTTCTCTGCTCCCCACCCCAAACTTTGTGCTTTCTCTCTTTGTCTCAAAATGAAGTTTAAAAAAATTTTTAAATACCCTATGATTCAGTAATTCCACTTTTGGATATTTACCCAAAGAATACAAAAATACTAATTCCAAAAGATACATGCACCCCTGTATTTATTGCAGCATTATTTATAATAGACAAAAATATGGAAGCAACATAAGTGTATACTGAAAGATGAATGGATGAGTATGGGTGTATACAATGGAATACTACTCAGCCATAAAAAGATTAAGATTTTACCATTTGTAGTAACATGGACAGACCTAGAGGGTTTGATTTCAAAAGTGTGGAATTTAAAAAACAAACCAATAACACAAACAAGGCATAAAACGACCTATTAATACAAAGAACAAACTACAACCTAGTGGTTTCCAGAAGAGAGGGAAGTGAGTGGGTGGGCAAAAGGGGTTGAAGGGGAATGGGAGGTACAGGCTTCCAGTTATGAAATGAATAACTCACGGGAATAAAAGGTACAGCATAGGGAACATTGTCAATGGTACTGTAATGGTGTTGTGTGGTAACAAATGGTAGCTATAGGTTGCAGGATACAACGTTGACATTTGAAAGTCAACTCTTTGCTAATATACCAGCAAGGAACAGCTAGAGTTTGATATTAAAACCTATATTACCATCAAAAAAAAAAAAAAGATTTTAGGCATAAATCTAATAATTTAGGTACAAATCTAATAAAATATATGTAAGACCTAAATAAGGCAAACTACAAAACTTAAAGAAGCCAAAGATCTAAATGGGGAGCTATTCCTTGTTTACAAATAGGAAGACGCAATGTTGTTAAGCTGTCAATTATTCCCAGACTTGATCTACAGATTTGACATAATCGTAATCAATATTTCACTTAATTACTTTAAGGATACTAACAAGCTGATTCTAAGGTTTCTTTGGAGAGGCAAAAAGACTTACAGTACAGAGAGCACAAGAGACCCAAACAAATTCAATCAACCGATCTTTTAAAAAAGTAGCAAAGGCAATCCAATAAACAGAAATGACAGCTTTTTAAACAAGTAGTGTTGGAACTACTAGACATTCACATTAAAAAAAAAAAACAAGTTTAGCCACAGACTTTACACCCTTTTATGTACATTAACTCAAAACCGATCACAGACCTAAATGTAACATGTGAAACTATAAAGCTCTGGCAACATAACACAGGAGAAATTATAGATGATCCTGGGTTTAGTGAGGACGTTAGATACAGCACCCAAAGTACAACTCATAAAACAAAGAACTGATGAGTTGGACTTCATTAACATTAAAATTAAAAACCTCTGTTGTGCACGAGATGTTGTCAAGAGAATGAAAACACAAAGCCAGAGATTGAGGAAAAATACTTGCAACGTCCAAAATATACAAAGTTCTTAAATCTCAATAATAAGAAAACAACCTAATTTAAAAAAGAGCAAAAGATCTGGACATAACCTCAGCAAAAAAGATAGATGACAAAAAAGCATTATTAAAAGATGCTCATTATCATACGCCACTAGGAAATTGCAAACTAAATAACCATCACATACCACACACCTATTTACGGCTAAAATACAAAACACTGGCAATACCAAATGCTGGTAGCGATGAAGAACAATACGAATTCATATTGTTTGTTGCTGACAGCAATGCAAAACACTACAGCCACTCCGGAAGACAGTTTGGCAGTTTCCTACAAAATTAAAGAAACTCTTAACACTGTGATTCAGCAACTGTGCTCCTCAGTATTTACCCAAGAGATGAAAACTAATGTGCATACAAAAACCTGTATCAATGTTTATAGCAACATTATTCATAATTGCCAAAACTTGGAAACCACCAGCATGTCTCAGTAGGTGAAAAGATAAATAAACGGTGATACCGGGGCACCTGGCTGGCTCAGTTAATACAGTTGTGCCTCTTCATCTCACGGCCCTGAGTTCAAGCTCCACACTGGGAGTGGAGCCTACATAATGCAAATTTTAAAAATAAATAAAAGTGTGGTTATCCAGACAATGGATTACTATTCAGTGCTAAGAAGAAATGAGCTATCAAGCCATGAAAATGCATGGAGCAATCTTATCCTCCCCTACTCATGCTGTCGCTCTCTCTCTCTCAGAACTAAATAAAAACATTAAAAAAAAAAAAAAAATCAGCTTTGTTCTAAGTCTCCCTGAGTCCAAACTTACTAGTTGTACTGTGTGATGAGTTCTGTATTCATCTTCACTCCGAAGGCGTTGTTGGAACTTTTCATTGTGTTTTGCAATACAAATTTCCTATAAATACATAAAATGTGTTTTAACATAAGTGAAACCTGAAAGACTCAATCTTCACATGTATCTACACAGGAAAACACCAAGTAATAAGCCACCTCTGATGCTCATCTGGAGTACTGAAGCAGCATGAGGGAAATCATCAATATCATTTAACTCCTCTAAAACTCATTTTTCCATTCCCCCCCCCCCCCCACAATGAGGAGTGATGGGGCAAGATAGAGCGGAAGAGGGTGTACTGAGATAATCTCACGGGTCTCTTTTAGTTCTGAAGTCTGTGGCCAAAAGATTGCAAGTTTCCCCTGTAGTTTTATTGTTTTTAAGTTATCTCTGCACTCAGTGTGTGGCTCAAACTCACAACCCCAAGATCAAGAGTCTCATGCTCTACACTGGGTGTTATATGGAAACCAATTTGACAATAAAGTATTTGTTAAAAAAATAAATAAATAAAATTTAAAAAAGAGAGAGAAGGGTTAAAAAAAATAGTTAACAGACTCTTGAATGCTGAGAACAAACTGAGGACTCATGGGTGTGGGGGGGGGGATGGGCAGGAGGAGGGCACATGTGGGGATGTGCACCGGGTGTTATATGGAAACCAACTTTACAATAAACTATTTGTAAAAAAAAAAAATAAATAAATAAATGTTATAAAAAAAAAAAAAAAAAGTCTCATGCTCTAACCACTGAGCCAGCAAGGTGGCCCTTATTGTAGTCTTACAACATTTCTCTTAAACGCTGGATTTTAAACTCTGATGAGTTAAACAACATGACTTTGCCTGGAGTGCTTTAAATATCATGCAATCTGTATCTTATGGTTAGAGAATTAAGAACAAAAAGAGACTGTCCAGATAAGCATCCAAATCGTCATTTTGGCTCAGGTCATGATCGCATGTTAGGGAGATGGAGACCTACATCAGTCTCTGTGCTGACAGAGCAGAACCTGCTTGGGATTCTCACTCCCTCTCCACCCCTGCCCTGCACATGCTCACTCTTAAAGTAAATATAGGTTTAAAAAAGAAAAAAAGAGGGGAGCCTGGTGGTTCAGTCACGCGTCTGACTCTTGATTTTGGTGCAGGTCATGACCTCTCACAGTTCCAGAGACTGAGCCCTACTTCTTCAGATTCTCTCTCTGCTCCTCACCTGACAGCACTCTCTCTCTCTCAAAATAAATAAAAACATAATAATAAACTAGGAAATAATGCACTATTATCTGGAAACTTTTTAGCAGCATCATGTTAAGTCTTCATTTTCCCTGGGTCTTCCTGGAGAAGTCCTCTAGGTAAAAAGATGCCCATTAGTTTTTAACACTCTCAAATCTATACAAACTTTTAACCAGAGAAAAGTGATATAATGAATGATCTTTTTTTTTTTTTTTAATTTTTTTTAATGTTTTTTAATTTATTTCTAGGAGAGAGAGAGGGAGAGACAGCGTGAGCAGGGGATGGGCAGAGAGAGGGGGAGATACAGACTCTGAAATAGGCTCCAGGCTCTGAGCTGGCAGTCAGCACAGAGCCCGACGCTGGGCTCGAACCCACGAACCACGAGATCATGACCTAAGCGAAAGTCGGACGCTTAACCGACTAAGCCACCCAGGCGCCCCCCCCCCTTTTTTTTTAATGAATGATCTTTTAAGCCAGTGAACTAGAGTTTAAAGCAAGTATATTGTATTTTTCACCCACACTGGGTTGACTCTGTTGCCTAACCAGTATGAATGGTGAAATTAACGTGTTTGGGGCAGTCTCCAGGGGGTTAACAAAGGTAGTATTATATAGAAGTAACATGATAGAATGATACAATGCCTCAGGCTTCTATGTCACTCAAACCTAACATAGCATCCTACCTCTACCCCATATTAGCTGCTTTTCCTTGCATAATTTATTTATCTACCAGTAGCTTTGATTCCCTTGAGTATAAAATGAGGATACAGGCCCACAATCCCTTATTTTCAGATTTTTAAAAAGATGATATGTTGCATATACATTACACAGTAACTACAGCAAGGTCTGAAGTAACACCCCATAAGTAAGACTAACACTGTTGCAGTGAAACATATGAATAGTCAAAGTAAGAGTATAAAATAGACAACTTCCTTTCGACTTGGGTTTCTCACCAAATCAAGTATAAGAATGTTTTTTATTTTTGGAGCTTTGTCAAGTTTAGGCAAAAGAGTATTAACTCATTTGACTACTGATATTAAAGAAGATAAAAATGCATAAAGAATATTCTTCTTTAAAAGTGTATTCACAGTGGCACCTGGGTGGCTCAGTCAGTTAAACATCCAACTCTTAATTTTGGCTCCTGTCATGATCTCACAGTTTTGAGAATGAGACACGAGTCTGGCACTGCAATGGGCCTGGTGCCTTCTTAAGAGTCTTTCTCTCCCTCTGCACCTCCCCTGCTCAGTCTCTGTCTTTCTTATTTCTTAAAAATAAATAAATAAATAAATAAATAAATAAATAAATAAATAAATAAATAAAGTTAAAAGAAAAAAGAAACTAGTCACAGAGTATAGACTTCAAGTCCTCATGGAATAGCCAGAGACCGTAATTATTTCAAGACTTAAAGTCACAAGTAGTCCCCTGGATATGAAATCCTATTGTGGATGCTGGGTAAACCAAACACCCTGAGACTGTGAACATGCTGAAATGCAGACAAGGAATATAGACCCATGTTACATGGAAAAGCATATTTTCATTTTTTGTATCAAATAGATGATCTCATTATCTTTCTTTTTAGGACTTTTCTAGTTTCCTCTCTTTCCAGCCATCTTTTATCACTCCTACCACCTCAGGTGATGCATGAGGGCTGGGGGTAGGTGTGCGGGAAGAGCAAGACCATTTAGAGCCCCTGACCCTGTGTGATATGTTGGGTTGCAGGAGGTCTGAGGCTGCTGGTGTAAATGGGCAGATTCTCCAGGAAGGAACTTCCCTAACTCAAATTTAGATTAATAAAAGAGTATAAAGAATATGGATTAATTTTTTTATATATAAAAGTTCATTCAAGACTGAGGCCAGAACCAAAACATAATTACAGAACATCACTGGCCTCCTTAAGTAATCAGGAGCCATGGGATCCTACAATCTTGTCCTTCACCAGAGTCACTTTCAGGGTGCAAGGGATAAGAAAACCGCATCATCACTGGCTGTTCTAACGTGTTTCACGTGGCAGTCCTCAGAAAACTCTATACTGCTGATGCAACGGCCTGAGTACATAGCCTACGCTATCATACCTTTTTATTTCTGAGGTAGGCTTTCTTGGCTGAAACCCGTCCTCGTCTTGCTTCCAGCTGGCGTGCTTTCTGCTGAAGTTTCTGTAGCTCTTCTCTCTGTAAGTGCACAGATGCCGCCAGCTCCTCCTTTTCCAGCATGGCCTCCATGCTTTCATAAGTGTCGTAATATACCACCTCATCTCTCTTTTCTGTAACAAAATAGCAGCGAGGGGTAGTGGTTAAGAGCAGGAGTGCATGCAGCAAGACAGAACAGAGTTCTAAGCCACTCATTAGCTCTGTGACCTCAGGCAAAGCTGTTACCTCTTGAGCTTCTTTGTAGAACACTGATTATTAGGAAATACACCTTCTAGGGTATGTGTACAAGGTGCTCAGCAATGTGTGGCACACAGTTAAGTGCTCAATAAATGTTAAGTATCATCCCCCAACCTGGAAATTTTTCTGGCCGAAACAACCTTACAAAGTGAGTATTTTACAAAGTAATAATATAGTTGCATTGCTGAGTCTACTAAGTAACTTGAGCTTCAGAGCTCCTTTAAAAGTCTTGACATTAAGATTTTCTTAGTCTCAAAGGAAGAACCAGCTGATGACTATCTGTCTTTCTCCTGTGTATTCATCTTTTTCTGGATTTATGTGGCTGAATGCACACCATACCCGATATGAGTCTTTTGATGCTTTCCAGTTGTGCTGTCAAGAGTAACTCTTCACACTTCAAGATTTCAAACTGTACTTCATACAGCTGGAGTTGCAGGTCATAATAATCAGCTTCTAACTGATCCAATCGGGCTATAGCTTCTGTACCACCCTGCAAACTCTGCATCTGCATCGAAAATAAAAATAAGAACATTTCTAATTGGTTGGGACAAGGGAAAAAAATGAAGTTAGGATTAGAAATGAATACCAATCATATAGCATAAATCCAAGAAGCAACTGTTACAGGAAAGAATCCTACAAACAAGAATTGAAGCTTATTTTAAAAGACAGAAAAACAGCAATAATCGAAACATACAGTTTTGGAAATAACTAGGCAAACATGGTAAAAATAGTATTTTTAATTAAATTTTATTCATATCACAGCTTATATTTAGGATATTATTCTAGTTATTCTGATATAATTATTAATAGTGTTCTTTCCTCTCAAAAGTAGATTACTAACCCATGCAGTTATCCCTTCCATATATGAATGAGATTATATATGAAAGAACAAGATATGTAAGTAATATTCAGCCATGCTCAGATAGTTACAGCCAAGGAGTAGAAGTCTGGTCACCTTATACATCCAGAGCTGTGTTTTGCTCCACTGACAAAGCCTTGCTAGCTTCTAGGATCTGGTTAGTGGGGAAGCAAGGTGAGTGGGTGTGAGCAGAACAGCAGAACAGAAATGACTGCATGAAAGTCCCTGCAAACTGCTGATGATGATAACTACTAGTATCATTACGAAAATGCAGTTAGGATCCTACATCCAACTTACGGTGAGATTCAAATGTTTCTAGGCATGTCTCATGAAGTGGTAGGTGTCCTTGCATGAAGTTTGCTTGGTTGGTTCATTAGTTTTTGGTCCAGAAAAGGGATGGAGAAGAGATTTTGCCAAGCATCAGAAGGAAATTACTATAAGCAAAGTATGCTTCAGATACTAGTCCCTAAGCGCATTTATTTCCATGGATTCCTACTTGGGGCTGTCAAGAAAGATGGCTGTAAGGAGGAGATGACAGAATGGCTTTTCAGGAGTCTGTGACGGACAGGCATGTGAGACAGTAAAGCATTCCTCTCAGGATATTTCATCTAAGAATACAGTGCTACACTTTAGCAGTTTAAATGTTCATGCTTAGAACTCCAGAAGACTGTCACAGGTATCGTGTGCTCTGGAACAAGCAGCAGTGGTGAGGAGGCCATGGCCTCAAGGGGCATCCAGTGAATGACTACCAATGGGGGTGGAGGAGCAACAGAGGAAAAGAAGGGAAATGTTTGTGAGCTCCTTTGAGGGGTGACCTGGGACTCCCAGAGTACCAAGGAGATACCTGCCTGGTACTCTTGGGACAGGCTTGACAGCAGACAGTAAATTCTTATTATTGCAAAAAGCTCCTGTCTGGTGAGGTTGGTGAATCATGTTAGCACATAAACAGAGTATGTTTTAAACAAGAGTCCAGCCTGGGGCACCTGGGTGGGTCAGTTAAGTGTTGGCCTTTGGGTCAGGTCATGATCTCACTGTTTGTGAGTTCGAGCCCTGCGCTGGTTCTCTGCTGTCAGGGTGGAGCCCACTTCAGACCCTCTGTTCCCTCTCTCTCTCAAAATAATAAACTTAAAAAAAAGAAAGAAAGAAAGAAAAGACTATACAAGAGTTCAGCCTTTCCTTTAAATTTTAGATATGCAACAAAATCTTGCCTGAAGATTAGAATTGTTTTTTAAAGTTGATTTATTTTGAGAGAGAAAGAGAGAGAGAGACAGCGAGAGAGAATATGACAGAATCCCAAACAGGCTCCATGCTGTCAGTGCAGAGCCCAGCGCAGGGCTCAATCCCACAAGCCAATCCTATGAACCGTGAGATCATGACCAGAGTTGAAATCAAGAGTTGGATGCTTAATCAACTTAGCCACTCAGGTGCCCCTCAAGTTCCTTGTGAACTACAAAGCAACAACACTTAGTCTGTGATCTAAATGTGCAATGGTAGACACTTAAAAATAATCAAGTTAATTATGTACACTGCTCTTTAATAAATGTTATAAAAAATTTACATTAGATATTTAATGAATTGTAGGCCAACAATCCCGCTGCATTAGGAATTATTTTGAGTGTCCAACAGTAAATATGAAACAGGGGCACCTGGGTGGCTCAGTTGGTTAAGCGTCCGGCTTCAGCTCAGGTCATGATCTTGCGGTTTGTGGGTTCAAGCCCCGTATCGGGCTCTGTGCTGACAGCTAGCTCAGAGCCTGGAGCCTGTCTTTGGATTCTGTGTCTCCTTCTTTCTGTCCCTCTCCTGCTCACACTGTCTCTCTCTCTCTCTCTCTCTCAAAAATAAATAAAACATTAAAGAAAAAACAGTAAATATGAAATAAACCACAAAGAATTCCATTACAGTGGCTCATGGAGGAGAATACTGACAAAATGAAATCCTGGTGTTTTGGTACTAAGTCATAAAATGTGAACGTAGGTGTCATTTCTTTTCTGAGACTCTCAGTTTCACTTTAAATTATAAACATCCTTTTGCATACTGTCTTGGGGCTTCTTATCTAGCTCTGAAGACCACAGATCCAGAATGTGTATTCCTGTTATCAGCACCCAGATAATGTTGGGGTGCCTGGGTGGCTCATCTGGTAAGCATCCAACTCTTAGTTTTGGCTCAGGTCATTATCTCACAGTTTCTGACATGGAGTCCAATGTCAGTCTGCACTGACAGCACAGAGCCTATTTGGGATTCTCTCTTCCTCTCTCTCTGTCCTTCCTCTGTTCACACACTCTGAAAAATAAACAAACTTAAAAAAACTAGTAAGAAGATAAAGCTTTAAAAAAGAATAAATAAAATACATAATGTTAAAGGCTTTATTCTCAGGAAAACTATGATCAGTTAAGATAAAACCTTACTGTATATCAGTCTAAAACCTTCAAGGTCTAGGGCTAGTCGTTCCACCTTCACTATCTCCAGTTCTCTCCAGCTAGGAGCAACCATTTATCTGCCATGTTTATATCACTGTGCTAAGGCTTCCCCTATACTCTTTAAGTTTTACTCTTGTCCAATACTTTGGCTAAGGACAGAAAGCTTAAAGCCCCTTGTTGACATACTTTTACATTGTCAATCAATATCAAATATCAAACTGAGAAAGTAAGGGATGTTTTCTTATAAGAAACAATCTCATCCCCCTGGTTTACTGAGTTCCATTCAAAGCAAAAAAAAAAAAAAAAAAAAAAAAAGGTCAAGAGGTAGATCTGCCATCACAAGGTTCAAAATGAAAAAAACCTAGGGGCACCTGGTGGCTCAGACGGTTAAGCATCTCACTTAGTTGGGGTCATGATCTCACAGTTTGGAGTTCGAGGCCCGCTTCGGGTTGTGAGCTGGCAACTCAGAGCCTGGAGCCTGCTTCAGAGTCTCTGTCTCCCTCTCTTTCTGCCCCTTCCCAGGTCGTGCTCGCTCTCTCTCAAGTTAAATGAACATTAAAAAATTATTTTTTTAAATCTCATCAGAGTCAGAAGTGCAGACAGAGGATCTGTTGCATCCCAACCTCTGAAGAATAAACAATAAAGCAATGGTAGGCATCATCACAAGTAACAGACAAGTAAGGGATTTGGAGAGGGTAAAACTTGCTCTAACGTTTGTTTAAACTTTGACATGGGGGCAATGAAAGACATGCAGAGGTAAGGGAAGACTATGCTGCTCTAAATCCCTTCCCTATAGTGTCTTTAATTCTCAAACTGATTTTCTCCTGATACCTAATTCATTCAGTGGACAGGCACAGAACTAGGGGAATAGGAATCAAGAGTATAAGGAATACTAATTCAGGACATTGAACAGTGCAGAGAAGGTAGGTGCCACAGTTGGAGCACCTTTGTTATGCCTGTGGGCACTGCTTCTCTGGGCAATAAAGAAGCCTAGCAATTAGGATAAGTGCTTAAAGGAGATGATCAAATTAAAGTTTTCACACTTTGCTATCTTGAAATTTTACTCAGCTCAACTTTTACCTTCTGAGCAAACTTTTTGGTATTAGGATATCAAGACCCCCAGAATAAACTGCTTTCCCAGTGTAACCCAGGTAATACCAGCAATGCTGTGCCTGATCCAATTTTGCCAATTCCTAAAAGAACGGCCTTTCCACTAGACATAAGTAGGGACCACCATTCTAATAAATATGGAAAAGAAGACAAGCAAACTGTTTTTACAGTAAATCTAGCAAGGAAATGAAGTATACCCAATGAAACGCCAATCAACATCCAAACGTCCCAATAGGAAATCCTACATTACTGACCCCACTGATGATCATTCCTACCATGCACAACAAGTTTTCTTGTACCTATTTTGACTATACTATACCATGAAACAAGCAATTTATACAAACTAATGATGCCCCTATCCTGCTTTCCACTCTACTACGCAAGAAAAACCCCATGACATGTCAAGAGCTATGAAAAATAGAGCTTTCAGAGTATCTGTGTGTGGAGCCATTCTTTCAACAAATACTGACTGGGCACCTGCTGGCTGTTTGAGTTACAGAAAGTATGGCAGTTAGCAATAAATGAAGTGAGGGTTCAAAAAGTCATCATGAAAACCATGTACAGCACAAGAGACAACATTAAAGGCAAGCTTGGCAAGCTGTCAGTTAAGACTAGCCCTTTTTTTATGTGGCAAAGACGGAAAGTACATGAGACTGAGTACCAAACAAACCTTAAGTATATGAGGTTCTACCAATAACAGCTACACAAATATGGAGAATGCATGTAAACAGAAGGAATTATCTAGAATTCCACATTTCAGAAATCTCTGAAAATTAAAAGCAGTCATAATTTCTCTGATATCAAAACCTAATCCCGTAATCCATTTTGTAGGAAGCTATCAGAAATTATGTGAATCATAATTTATTCCATTTAATGTAAGAATGTTTCATTAACAGAATAATAACATTTGTATGGAAGTTTTATGTCTTAATCTGTCTGAAAAACTTATAACTCTAATAAAACATATCTGAGAGATTATTGCCTGACAGATTTCAGACAATGGTTTACTGGCTCATAGCACAAAGGGTTATGTTTGAGATTTAAGAGATAATATACATAAAACACTAAAGATAAAGCCAGAAATTTTCTATTTATTTTTATAATCAATATCAAAATATA